CGGCGGCCGCCGAGGGCCTTACAGGCTCCGTGCGCACCGCGTCTGGACGGCGACTTTAAATGGACAAAAATCATCATCCCCAGTCCTTTCGCGTTCAAAGAAAAGTTTTTGTGAACTTCCCGAGAAAGTGTTAGCATCAAGAGGTTCCCCAATTTCCCCTTTCTCTTTTTTTTTTTTTTTTTTTAAGATTCTCCAGAAAGGTGGCGAAAGATTTGAAGGCAGAGATAGGAGTGAAGGGAATGGGAGGTAGAAGCCAAAAGCTATGAAGGGTTTTGTTGCCCCCCACCCACTTTCATCACCTTGTTTACCTGGGGATGGGAGGCTTGGGGACGCGTGCAGACGCCGAGGGACCTCGGGGCGAACTCCCTGGGTGACAGAAATACACCTACATGGTGGATTCCTGTGTGTTTTAGGGACTGGGAGTGTGACTCAGTAGTAGTGTTTTTCTGGCATGCCTGAGGCCCTGAGTTCGATCCCCATTCAACGCAAAAAAAAGAAACTGCGTTTGGTTAACACTAATGCACCTTATTTTGCTGTTTGCATGTAAGATCTTCACTGACAAAAACAATTACCATGTTTAAATTCCCTCAAAATAGAATTCTCCCCATTCCCCCAAAGTCTTGCTACCTCTCCACACCCCCTTAGCTCTTGCCAACTGCTGGATTGTCGTTTCTGACCTCTGCCTCAGGGCGTTGTACTACTTGTCCCTCAAAAACTCTATGTCCGACTCTTCTCTGAAATGTTCCTAGACATCCCTCTGCCCAATAGGAGTCCCTTCCTCGGCGCTTGCAACACAGATTTGTTCTTACTGGACTAAGGTTATTTACTAATCTGTGCCAGTAGGGTATTAAGCTCCAGTCTTGGAAGTATGATGTCCCCTCAGTCCCTACTTCCCCGCCACAAATGGCTTGGCTCATTACATGTGAGTTGAGTTCATCAAACTAACCCTGGAAAGTGGAACCCGGGTTGCTGCTCCCTTTGGGGCACAGCTATGTGACTTGATTATATTCCATCTCCTGAGCCTCGGTTTCCTTCTCTGTAAAAAGGATTGACACCACATGCCTTGCAAATTTTTTTACAAAGAAATGATTTTTTCCCCAAAGCCCAACAGGCAATAGGGGGCAGTAGTGGCCCAACATCCAGTCCCACTTGAGTCAAGATATCAGGTGCAGCTTCCTTGAGGAAGACTTGAGGGTTCCCACAGTGGCCCAGTTTTTCCAGTCTCCAGGCCTTCAGAGAGCCTGCTTTCCCTGGCAGGTCAGTTATATAGAAAAGTGACAAGAACAATTTTATATAATCTATAAATTCAATGCTCATTTTTAATTTTGAACCAATTAATGTTTTAAAAAAAGATCTTTATTTATTTTGTTTATTTTTATGTGGTGCTGAGGATGGAACCTAGTACCTCACAAGTGCAAGGCAAGCGCTATACCGCTGAGCTATAACCTCAGCCCCACCAATTAACGTTTTAACTACATCTCTCAGGGATTTAAAATGTGGACACTTAGCATCTCAGTGGAACACAATTGTAGGGGGTTTTGTTATTGTACTTTGTTTTGTTTGTTTGTCGAGACTGGGTCTCCCTAAATTGGGGAGGCTGGTCCTCATGACCATCCTGCCTCAGAATTCTGGGCCTGTGGCCTAGGTGTGTGCCACCACACTTAGTTTGAGTTGCATATTGTGGGGTTTTATTATATAAATGAGGGGACCCTAACTCAAATGCCTTCAATGATCAGGTAGTTTATTGCTTAAGCAAGAGGGAGTAAAGAGGATTGTGACAATCTACATCTCATGAATGTTGTAGCGAAATATGTTCTGTTCCAGACAGGCACAGTGGTGCACACCTGTAATCCCAACAATTTGGGAGTCTTGGAGAGGCAGATGGAAAATTTGAGATCAGCCTCAGCAATTTAGTGAGACCTGGTCTAAATGAATTTAAAAAGTGGCTAGGGAAGTAATTCAGTGGTACAATGACCTGGACTGAATTCCAGGATCAAAAAAATAAAAATACAATCAATTCCAATTTTTGAAAACATACTAGTGGCTAAAGATGTAGCAGGAAAGCATCTGAAAGTTTACTTTATTGATTAATTGATTGATTGATTGATTGATTGATACAAGGGATTGAATTCAGGGGCATTCGGCCACTGAGCCACATCTCCAGCCCTATTTTGTATGTTATTTATAGACAGGGTCTCAGTGAGTTGCTTAACACCTCTCTATTGCTGAGACTGGCTTTGAACTCACAATTCACTAGGATTACAAGCATGTGCCCAGAAAGTTTACCTCTTATATTATGAAAGTAATTGTCCATGTTATGTCCAAGTAGAAAAGTGGAAAAGAGATAAAGGTAAGGCTAATCATAGTACTTTAAAATAATCACTTATCAGGGGCTGGGATTGTAGCTCAGTGGTAGAGCAGCTTGCCTAGCATGTGTGAAGCACTGGGTTTAATTCTCAGCACTGCATGTAAATAAATAAAAAATAAAGGTCCATGGACAACTAAAAGAAATATAAAAAAAAATTACTACCAACCACGAGTTGTGTTTCTTCTCATAATTTTCATTTAATTTTTGTGTTGTTGAAGCCGTAATTAGTCACCAAGTGTCTTTTGACATTACTGTTTCAGGATCTGAAGTCAAGTTAATCCAAAGAACAACAGACTCTCAGGGGCTTGTCAGGTCACCCACAGTGACAGTAAATGTGTTTTTGTTTTGTTTTGTTTGATTTTAGACCAACTCTTCGGATGTTACTCAAGCTGGTCTTGAACACCTCTCTCAGCCTGCGGAGTAGCTGGCACTCCAAAGGCAGGAGCTGTCATTCCAGCGTAGTCAATGTGCACTTTTACACTTATCCACACAGATTGGTTGACGAGAGGTCTTGAGCCATTGTGCACAGGAAAACCAGCACAACCAACAATTGTGCCATACTTGAATGATGAGAAACCTGTCCACTGGGGTGTGACTCCAAACTAACCAGGGGACACTCGGCATCCAGTGAGGTGCAATCCAAAATGTGCCCACCTCCCTCCCTCCCTCCCTTCCTCTCTTCCCTCCTGCAAAACGAGATTCAATTTATGTGGCACAGAATTCACCCTTGTAAAGTGCATTAACTCAGCGGGTTCCAGCATATTAACAGAGTTGTCCAAATATCACCAAAA